CTTCTATCATTGACAGTCCCTCTAGGTTGTGGGCTGCTTGCCTGTGTTCCTGAGAAGCATCTACGGTACCAGTCTATAGAGTGTGTTTTCTTTAGTGAATTACCGGTATGTTTACCGGTAATAAACTTGCACTGTTTTATGTATATGTTTGATTACATACAGCCTTGTCACAGTTTTCCTGCATGTCATAAGCATTTGAATATAAATTAAAATGTTAAAATCAAATCTGATATTGTTTTACCTTTTATTTGGTGTGTGGAAGGTGTGCGGAAGAGGGGGTAGTCTTATACGGCGAGTATATAACAAACTCTGTATTTTGAGTGGAAATGTTAGGGGGTCGTCTTATACGCCCAGTCGTCTTATACGCCGGCAAATACGGTAATTGTCAATATATACTATATTGTTTGAAATTTTCTCTTAACGATAAAATGTTAAGAGAAATCTATTACCTTTATGATTAAACAAAACATAGTCCATACTGCAAAAGCTACAGTGAAAATGGTGTCCTCCCACAGTTTTCCAAAAGGGTGGACTGATTTGGAATGCCATCAGCAACCTGAACAATGCATCAATGACCATGAAAACATTCACATGTTCATAACATATGATCCAGCAACTCTACTTCTGGAACTCTATCCTAAAGAAATTAACCAACATATAAGAAAGAACTGCAATTTAACTCAGCGCTTTATAAGCGAGGAAGGGGTTCTCTTTCATACCGTGCTCATAAGGTGAAAAAGTGCCTGCATCGATGTTGATATAGGGGTCGATTTTGATGGCGGTAACTCGGAGTCCCCATGATTTTAGAATCGTCCCAATGCTGCTCGCGATGATCCCTTTCCCAATGCTCGAGATCACCCCACCGGTGACTAGGATGTACTTCATTGGTAGAGGAATGGCTGGGTGTCAGCACCCAGATAGAATCTGAAAGGTAATGAAATTAAGGGTCAGGGAAGAGAAACATTTTCTCAAACCAGTAAAGCAGAGTGTGTGTTAAACCAGAATTTCAAAAGCACACAGCATTTTCCTATCTAAACTAGTTAAAATTTAAAAAAAAAATTTAAACCAGATATTTTTTATTTATTGATTTGAGAGAGAGAAAGAGTTTTTGTTCCACTTATGTATGCATCAACTGGTTGATTCTTGTATGTGCTCTGACCGGAGACCGAACCTACAACCTTGGCATATCCAGATGATGCTCTAACCAACTGAACTACCCAGCCAGGACTGAAACTTTTGTAACAAAGTCATATCCTCTGATTTTTTATTTTTGTCAATATGCAGGAAGCTGTGGCTATTTTCTGCAAGTAGAGGGGCTGGCTCCATTGCCCTGATTTTCCATTTACCCCAACTCTGTCATATGACAAACTTCATCATGAGAAAATAGATTTCTCTGGGATTCAGAGGCATGGTAAAATTTATGAGATCAGGCACTGTTGTCAGACAGAGCTGTACAAGCTGTACCAGGACAAGCTAATCCGTTCTGTGCCTGTTTCTTCATCTGTGAAATGGAATAAAAATACCAGTCCCTTAAAATATTATCCAGCACTAAAAAGAAATGAGCTGTCAAGCCATGAAAAGACATGGAGGAAACTTAATGCATATTACAAAGTGAAAGAAGCCAATCTGAAAAGGTTACATACTGTAGGATTTCAAATATATGATGCTCTGGAAAAGGCAAAACTATGGAGACAGTAAAGAGATCAGTGGTTATGCCCTAGCTGGTTTGGCTCAGTGGATAGTGTGTCAGCATGTGGACTGAAGGGTCCCAGGTTCAATTCCAGTCAAGGGCACATGCCTGGGTTGTGGGCTCGGTCCCCAGTGTGGGGTGTGCAAGAGGCAGCCATTCAATGATTCTCTCCTATCATTGATGTTTCTATCTCCCTCTCCCTTCTTCTCTGAATTCAATTTTTTAAAAAAGAGATCAGTGGTTGACAGTGGTTTGGGGGAGGGAGGGATGAATAGGTGGAGTACAAGGGATTTTTAGGGCAGTAAAACTACTGTGTGATACTACAATGGTGGATACCTGTCATTATACATTTGTCCAAGTCTATATAGAATGTACAACATCAAGAGCAAATTCTAATGTAACCATGACTTTGGGTGATAAGATTGTGCCAACATGCGTTCATTGATTGTAATAAATGTATTGCTCTGGTTTGGGATGTTGATAATGGAGAAGGCTGTGCTCATGGGACAGGTGGTATATGGGAACTCAGTACTTTCTGCTCAGTTTTGCTGCAAACCTAATACTGCTCTAAACAGTAGTCTATTTTTTTAAAATCAATATTTAAGTGTGCCAACATAAAATAGATTTCCTAGGTGGTTCTAAGACTGTATTTTTATATTTTATACGATTTACAAAAGATTAAAATAATATTTCATGACATTAAAATTATATGATACTTGCCGAAACCGGTTTGGCTCAGTGGATAGAGCGTCGGCCTGCGGACTGAGAGGTCCCAGGTTCGATTCTGGTCAAGGGCATGTACCTTGGTTGCAGGCGCATCCCCAGTGGGGAGTGTGCAGGAGGCAGCTGGTCGATGTTTCTCTCTCATTGATGTTTCTAACTCTCTATCTCTCTCCTTTCCTCTCTGTAAAAACTCAATAAAATATAAAAATATATATATATTAAAAAAAATTATATGATACTCAAACTTGTGTCCATAAATCAAGTTTTATTAGCACACAGACACACCCATTCATTTATATAGTGTCTATGTTCACTTACTTTGTACAATGGCAGAGTTGAGTAGTTGTGACAACAAAGACCTATGGCCCACGACACCTGAAATATTTACTATCTGGTCTTTAACAGAAAATGTTTGCTGGTACCTGGTATGGAGGGTCAAAATCAATTCCTACATTAACTGATAGTAAGAACTTAAGAAAGTGAGCTATTAACATCACTATTAATAAGAATAAATGTGTCCTCCTTAACTGAATTTTTTTCATTACCTATCAGTTTTACCATGCAGGAATATCCAAGCAGGGGGGAAATGTATTATGTCATAAGGAAATTTTATTTGACTTTTTTGTGGCTGTCTGATTCAAACTCTTTTTGACTGGCAGGCAGAGAGCCCAATAGCTACTTGGCCTTCTCTACTTTGAGAACCACTGTTTTCTCCTTGAGCCTATGCCAGCTGTGGGCAAACTACGGCCCGCGGGCCGGATCCGGCCCATTTGAAATGAATAAAACTTAAAAAAAAAAAGACCGTACCCTTTTATGTAATGATGTTTACTTTGAATTTATATTAGTTCACACAAACACTCCATCCATGCTTTTGTTCCGGCCCTCCGGTCCAGTTTAAGAACCCATTGTGGCCCTCGAGTCAAAAAGTTTGCCCACCCCTGGCCCTATGCTTTCATTCTCACCATTTCACCATGCATGTGAAAGTCAGCCTAACAGCATGATTTTCGTAGTCAGGGATGGCAGCTAAATGGGCAACTGAGTAAGACCACTGCAAAAGAGAGGAAAACTAACAAAAACTAATAACTATAAATCCCACTTTCTACTATAATTCACAATTTTAAAAAATATTTTAATCAATGATTCTCTCTCATCATTGATGTTTCTATCTCTCTCTCCCTCTCCCTTCCTCTCTGAAATCAATTTTTAAAAAAATCTTTAGCCCTGACAGGTTTGGCTCAATGGATAGAGCATCGGCCTGAGGACTGAAGGGTCCCAGGTTCAATTCCGGTCAAGGGCATGTACCTTGGTTGCGGGCACATCCCCAGGGGGAGGTGTGCAGGAGGCAGCTGATTGATGTTTCTCTCTCATTGATGTTTCTGATTCTCTATCCCTCTCCCTTCCTCTCTGTAAAAAATCAATAAAAATATATTTTAAAAAAATCTTTAACCCAGCCATCATGGCTCAGTGGTTGAGTGTCAACCTATGAACCAGGGGGCCTCAGTTCGATTCTAACCCAGTCCAGGCACATGTCCAGGTTGCAGGCTTGATCCCCAGTGTGGGGCATGTAGGAGACAACTGATCAATGATTCTCTCTGATCACTGATGTTTCTATCTCTCTCTCTCTTTCTCCCTTCCTCTCTGAAATCAATGAAAATATTTTTTGAACTTTTAAAAAATACTTAGAAATTAAGCACAGAATCAGGATGGGCTTTTCTTTGAGGAATATGGACAAGTAAGATAAATGGGTAATAAAAATCATTTCTGTCCTCCTCAAAGAAAAGCCTATCCTGATTTTGTAGTTTCCTCTGCTTATTCAAAGCAAACTATGTGAAACTTAAAGGTGTAAAGTTATCTCACTTTGAGCTGTGAGTTCAGTTTGAACTAGCTGACCATGGTCAGGACAAATAAATTGAAGCCATCCACAATATATATGTCCCATCCCAAATGGCTGCCCTAGGTCCTTGGGCCTGCCTTTCAATACACAGTATAGTTAATCTCCTTCAATGCCACCTGGTCATCCACTCACCAAGCTAGTTTAGCTTAAAAGATTCTCAATCCAAACCCCGAATGCATATCCAAAATGGATCTGAATGTTCGTCTCTTTCCACTCCTACTGGCCCAAGTAGTCACTAATAGTGGTTATTTCTTCACAGCCTTCCCTGACTCCTCCCACTGGCAATTTCTTAAACTATGATAAGTGCCCCTCCTCTGGAGTCAGAGAGCCTAGATTCAAATGCTGGCTGTCATTTACAGCTATGACTCAAGGCAACTTCAACCTTTCTAAAACTCAGTTTTCTCTACCTATGTATTACGCAGAGATCATAACAGTGCCTGCCTTATAGAGGTGTGTGGCAGAGTACCCAAGTGCTAAAAGAAAGTTAGCTGTTATCATTTTCCAGAGCCATCTCCTCCCCAATTCAATCGCCTCATAATTGTTTACTGAGAAAAAACCAAGATGGCGGCATAGGTAAACACCTGAGATTGCTACTTAGCACAACCACTTCAAGGATACAACTAAAAGACGGAACAGACATCATCCAGAACCACAGGAAGGCTGGCTGAGTGGAAATTCTACAACTAGGA